CCCCCGGGTTGTGGGTGATCGTCTCCCATGCTCGGATGCTCAGTCTCAGGCCGAGGTGTTTGGCAGAAATCACTGATTTTTCAGCACGTTGGAAGGTGCCCGTAACTGGCACTAGTATATTTTTTGTTACTTCCAAGCACCTGTGGACAGTCCTTTGCTTTTCCAGAAAAGTGAGCTTAGGAATGCTTTGCTTCATTCTAGGTCAGGCTGCCTGCAGATATAGGCCCTTTCCTCTGCTGCCTTGTCGCCAGTTACATTAAATACAGTATATGACAAGAGTTTATCGACACTGCACTGTAGTCAACATCCGTGCGAGCGTATACAATGGCCCCCGTGCAGAGAAAGATTCCGTTGAGCCAACAGGTGGCAGTGATTCTGTCAGTGATAGTGAAAGTCTTTCTACACAAGAACCCTCCTCTCTCTTGCCTCCCTCACACCAGCCGTGAAAGTTTTCAAAGGGAAGTGCAGGTTAATTTGTTTATTTTTCTTTATATTTTCTTGATTTTTTTTGTATTATATTACAATATTGTAATCATTTTTATATGAATGATGGGTTGTGGAACGAATCACCTGAGTTTCCATTATTTCTTATGGGGAAATTCACTTTGATATGCAAGTGTTTGGATTACAAGCATAATTGTGAACAAATTATACTCGCAAACCAAGGTTTTACTGTACACCCAGCCATTGAACTGCCTGCCACCCCTTGGGCAAACTGAAGTGTCTTCTGGCAAACTCTGCTTAGACCTTCTAAATGTGCACAATATTTCTCTCCTCGGTCAGCAATCATTGCACACTGGCAGAGGCCAGGCATGGTGCTGGGGGACGCCCACATAGTATGTGGCATGGCATTCAGCCTGTGCTCCGGAAGCTCATGGTCTAGTCATCACATGCCTTCTAGAAACAAACGTCAGGGACTCCTGCTAACAGTGCTTCTGCTCAGCCTCTACCCGGTGCTCCCCATGAGCCCACACCTAGTGGCTTCCAGACACATAGTGCAGGGGTGGACATTTGGAGACGGGCATTGCCGGGAAATGTCTCACTTCTCAAGGCTTTCTCCCTCCCCTGCCAGAATCCCTAACAACTCTGCCTGAACCCTCTGATCCCTGTTCTGGGCTCATTCTACCTCCAGAGAGCTACATGGGTGGAGGTGACCCTTGGTATGTGCTGGGTTGGCTTTGTGGGCCGACTGACCGCGACTGGATCCCGCCTCCCTCATACCAGTCCCCACCCCTTTCCAGCTGCTTCCAGGAGGTCTCCCCTCTCACTGTGGAAAGTGAGAACCTGCTCTGGGAGGTGGTGGAGGTGGGGCAGGCCTTAGCCCATCTGCTACTTTCTTTCTTTCTCTTCTGCTTCTTTCTCATTTCGTTTATTCTTCAGCCTGGCTCTCCTCCATTTCCATGACATCCCCATCCGGTCAAAGAGTTCACAAGTCTTTAGGGGGTGTTAAGGCGGAGAGAGGTGTTTGGGAGATTGAGGACCAGACAGTCCAGGTCTTTGCCCTCAGGGAATGTGACAAGGCAGATGAAGCTTTGTCCCTCATCCACCAGAATCCACCACTGCCGAGTTAGGGAGTGTGACGGTGCACAA